ACACGTCATTTTGTCTGCTTTATGCCAGTTAGTACTCCTGGTACACACATTAGAGTTTGTCTCAGTCACTTTAATACATTTCTCAGATCAGAAATAAAATTCTACTTGTTCAGCCTCCACATCATCCACTCACTTGTGCACATCATATAAGCAATTTCTCATTGTTTTTAACAAACTGCAAATTCTTTGGCACATTCATGCAAATGATTATGTACAATTGTCTGCTGTTTCCTGCATTATTAGTTGCTTATGTCATGTTGATCAAAATATATTATACCGGGTCTCTGTTGTCTGACCTCCCAAAACAACTAGTCATTAGTTCATTGCACTGTAATTCCCCAAACAGCGTTGCATGTACAGTCTCCTTAAGGGCTGTTTCCTATTTTTACATTTCTAATTTTGTACTTTTTCCTATGTGCTATTCAGTGTTGTAAAACACTTTCTTTTCTGTATCACATCAGAGAATACTTACGAAGTACAAAGTACAGTGACTTGTTCGTAATCAATGGCACAAGGATTTGTCTGTTTGATGCACAGACACGTTCAGTGACATAAGTATTTACTTTTGAGAGATAAACTAAGGATTTTGAAAAAGTGACAGGCTTTTGCAGCTAATCCACTGTGTGGTGCTGTTTGTATGAACGGTTTGGAGAAATGCTCTTACAAAATGCGTTTGCAAACGTTAAGGATGGTTCAAGAAATGTACCAAAGCAAGTGAGAAAAACTGTAACTAACAAATTAAAATAAATAAGTTCCATATGAGTCATTGGCCTCGTAGATGATGCATCTGTCAGCTTGGCTGTTTCTGTGTGAGTGAAAAAGACTGTCACAGCATAATTTTAGAGATTTTGACAGATGAACTGGACCTATATAAGACAGACAGATAGACACACACAGAGAGAGAGAGAGAGAAAAAGCATGACATACAAGCACTATGTCTGGTAATCATGTAACTGGAACAGTGATGGTGTCTGCCCCAAAGTCATCAGCACAACATGAACACTACAGCATTCTGTCACATGCACACCCACACACTCACACACGTTTGTTTTCATTTCTTATGGGGACTTTACACCGACTTGCATTCATTTCCTTGAGACTTATACTAACCTTAACTAGAACCACTACTTGTCTGACCCTAACCCTTACTCATAACCAACCATGCCATCACCCTAAAATTCAGCATCTGGTCCCCACAAGGAAGGTGAGTCCCCACATGTGAGTGGGCTCCCGCTTTTGAAAAGGTTTCAAAGACACTGTAATCCCGGCTGTCCATATGGGCAAATATTGATTCACACATTCTCATCCTCGTCTCTCGGTGCTTTCACTATGATCACTGTGCTCTTATTTCAGTCTCCCATGTCTTCAAGGCTTCATCTGGGTGTAAATATTTAGTAACAACTCATTTCTACATAAGATTTAGTTTGCATGGTGCCAACTGTTTAAAAATTAGTGATGCATCAATCTCCATATAATAAATACTGTACCTACAATTCAACTAGACTAAGTTTAATCTTATGAACAGTGTTGTTCTGTTAGACAAGCTGTCTAATATCTCCTTCCAGAGGACCCATTTGTGCATCAGTACCAATAACTTCCCCTTTAAGTCTAGCCCCAACATCCCAATTCATACTACACCATGGGCAAAAGTTACTATTTCAAAGTAATTCTATGGCACATTTAACAACATTGTAATACAGAGACATTCATGATGCAAACATCAATGAAAGAATTATTAAACAAGTTAAAACTTTTAGCAATTACAGTGACAGCAGCAATAAGTGATGGGTGAGTTGCTCTGTCTCATGAAATCTATAGTCTTTAACAAAAACCCAGAGGGTAAAAACCTCCAGATCAAACTTAAGAAAACCTAAGACAGGTAGTGTTAAGTGTTCATTTGACTGGATAAAAATCAGATGACTGTGATTTTAAATTATAGTCCAAAAGGCATCTGACTGCAAATAAATCATAAAAACGTGCTTTTGGGGATTTTTTTGGGGCAAAAACTACTTGCTATTCCTGTTAAACACCAATCCCCAAGTGCTGTACTAATGCTCCCTGAGAGTAGTAGAGGAATTTTGACTAATTGTTTTCTAGAGGTGACACAGGCACATATTGACAGCATGTACTGCCAGGAAAAAACACCTTCAAAACATTGTGTTTGCTTTCTGTGCAGAACGTTAACTGAGAGGATCGATACCATTCCCTTCACTGTGCGATAAACATAAAGTTTCCATCAGCAGCTTGTCAGCTTAGCTTGGCATAACAACTGTAAACAGGTGAAACAGCTAATCTACCCACCAGCACTTATAAAAAGGGGCATATTAACACATGTTGCTTATTTAATCTGTACAAAAACTAGAGTGTGAAAACAACGCATTGATTTTACAGCAGGTTATGTGCTGGGCTACTTCTTGAATGGGCACTGTAACTTCCACCATGAGATTTCTGCCTGGAAATCTCATGGTGAGAAAATGGGGTCTCTGCCTGGAAATCTCATGGTGAGAAAAAAACACTTTCCAAATATTGAACTATTCCTTTAATCATCAGCGACAATTTCTTGTGAGATTTAAACAAACAAGATGCACTAATAGGTGAGCTGTAGAGGTACAGGTGGACTTTATAACATTTGAACAGCGCCAGGTTAGCTGTTTCTAAGAGGAATACTAAGGATGCAAAGCTAAGCTAACTAGCTATAAAAAGAGTTCTACCACATCTATATACTAGTTGCCTGTCTTGTCAAGTTCATCCTAGGAAAGGTACATTGTTAAAGGTGAAATGGTTTAATGCCAATAACAGAAAGGTTAAAACACGTGACACCAAACAGTGACAGTCATGATAACTTAAGAGAGTGGGATCTTTTCATCTGCTAACCCGCCCTTGAGGATAGCTTGAGCTAAAGTGGACTACAAACAGAGGTAGAACAGTGAGGATTACCTGGATCTGGGTATAATATTTCAACATAAAGCAATAAACTTCATACACTGAATTCCTGGATAAAGCTCCTCTGTAATCTTCTCCCTGAGCATAAGGAACTTTATCTCTCTCTGTTGTTGTGATTTTGGGAATGGTACCATGCTATCCAGGCAACTTTTCAGCCCTTGTTATATAACTCATAATATCACCCTACAAAATTCTTCTAAATTATTAATCATTAAATCATTACTGAGTTATTTGAATTCTCAAATATACAGTCCTACAGTGCTCAACGAAACCAGGCAGATTCATCAGCTACCAACTAGTATTTCACTTTTTGTATGTGGACCAGAGTTGCTCAGTCATAAATATCTGCAGCCTCTCTGGGGAAGCAAGTGTGATTCCGAGACAAAAGAAAACAACCACATTCCATATGGTGTCTTTGCAGGTGGAGGTGTGCTACAGTAGGTCACTTGTACTTAGTTTGGTGGGGTAGGGGTGGGTGATGGGGAGAGGTTGACATCTGGGCCCAGTCCTGTTCCCCTGGAGAGTGCAGTCACAGGTCTCCATCACCATATAGGGGAGGTTTGCTACTGTATATATAAATATAAACTATTTTGGATCTTATACTGTATACTGTAACAACAACATGTAATTGGGCTTAATGTGAAAGCAACAGAAAATGTAAGTTGTCACGAGCTTTCACATGGGTGGGTTGAACTTGGGCTTTACGGTTTTACAGTCAAACTGCAGTGGGCAGTTAAACCTGCAGGTTTATCTTGATTAAATTCACACAACTGTCTCTTATGCCTCCAGTCCATCATTACATGATCACAGAAAGGTGTAGCTGATTTTCATTTTTAGAGAGGATAAAGACAAAGAGAGATGAGTCATATTCAAAATGACAGTTTACATCAGGAGGCATGCCATAAGCTGCATTCTTATAACTAGTGAGTAATAAGAAGGAACCACTGAATTTAGTCACATACAGTAGATTCGGGCAGGATTAAAACCTACTTTCACAGTCTTCATACAAAAGAGAAAGAAAAGCAGGGAAACCAAGACTAATTTGATCACCTCTGTGATACCAGTACCAGCATGTCAAAGAACAAGATGGTCCAGACCCTTTTGGTTTCATATATACAGCTACAGTATTTACTTTGCATTGACTTTGACTTGTCAATGTAAAATTCCTAACTGTAATCCCTTTAAAACTTTTTTGTACTTCTCAGAGAAAAGTCAAGTTGGCAAGGGTAGGGAATAACGGCATTTGGCATACTTCTAGATAAGTGGGAAATCGCTGAGTCAGCATCCACCAGTTGCCAAGAACAAGACAAGTCTGAGTCAAAATAGGCGTACCTATGTGACAGGCACATCCAAAATGCTAGTCACGTCTCTTGAGACAGACTTACATTCTGCAGCCCTGGCAGAGTGGAGGCAAAAATGAGTGGGTCTGACCCTTCACTTTCTTCAGCTGTTTGTAACTCATGCATGTACACTGTTACTTGCAAGCACCCATCAGTACACACAGCAGACTATACAGTACAGAGCAGCTTCATTATATTTCCCTCAAACTCAAGTAAGCAACCAGTGACAATGTAAGGGAACTCTGCCTGGCCTCATGTTTGCTGTTTATCAATTGTGTTTTTGTAATTTGATTTAAGTATAATAACTAAATCTCTAATAATGAACAGATCTGACAAAGGGCACCTGTTAAGACAGGGCCTCTGAAACAAGCCACATTTAAAGCCTGTTCATTCAGATCACACAAAAAAACACTGTGGGGCCTAGTTGTGCAGATAGTTTTACATTCATTTTCATAGAGGCATCCACTGCTGAGAGTGCAGTCACCTCAAGACTATGGAGGAAAATGGAACCAGTGCAATGGAAATAAACGGCACTAAAATTACATTAGAAAAATTCAAGAGCATTGCACCTTTCCTGTGTCAGCTGGCATTGAAGCTGAAGCAATCAGGGGACGCTAGAGGATTTGAAGGCCACTGGTGCAGCCGCCCACTCTGCTCAGTTTTGAATCCAATCTCATTGTGATAACAGCACTAAACTTAGTAGGCTACATAACTTACGTTCCCAGCACTTCTTTGAAGTCATAATGCTCTTTGATGTCGCATGTCTTCTTTTTCCATCCATTTCCATCCTCTCCAAGAGGCATCCTACAATGCTGAACAGATTCACCACGCTACAGCTACAAGAGAACAAGAACACAATTAAAAACAGTGAATAGACTCAGATTGTGCACAATTACAGTTTTGATGCAGCATGTGTATTCAAACAGATAACTGTTTGATCAAAAGGATTGTGCAAAACTGAACCAACAATGGATATATTGATTGAACCAGTGCTTTTTAACAAATATAAATGTCCATCCATCCATTTTCTGCCACTTATCTGGGGTCAGGACGCAGTGACAGACTAAGAGTGATTCAAATATAAATGTTTAAGATGAAAATTCACTCCAAGGTACTATTTCCTCACAGTGGGAAAACAGATATGAGCTGACTTTAGGTATTGTAACATCAGCTGGGAAGAAGGGTCGAGAGCCAAGAGCTTGCCTTTTTCTCGTTTACACAGCAACCACAGAACACAGGAACACTAACTCACTCCAACAAGTCCCGCCAAGTCCAAACTATATGCCTCCTGCCCAGAGGGGCAATTTGGGAGACCCCACCAACAGTGTCTCCCCTCTGGCATTATGGGGAGTCCCACGAGGTGCTGCTCATAACAGAGTCCCTTAGCGTTGGGGGAGCCTCCACCGGCATTCAGGCCACTCTGGTGGCTCCTGGGCAGCTGGTCAAGAGGTTCTGGAGCTCGTGGCTGGCTCCCATTGTTCGACTGCCCACCCTCAGGTGAAGCCAAGGGCCGGTATGGTGCGAATCTGTCCCTGTGAAGTACCAGCCAGTTCCACATAATAAGCCTGTAGAGCCCTGGCCTCCAGGGTGAAGACAACTCAGTCGGCTGTCTCCTCAGTTAACCAGCCATTCACCCTTGCTGCCATTGGCGCTTGGATGAGGTATGTCTATAGTGGCTCTTCCTCACTGTAGTGTGCCAGCTGCACCTCTTCTTATCGGGCTGCTCCTGACTCCATGCTGCGGGCTAGTCGAAGGTGTGGAGTTGGCGCTCTGGTGCAGCTCCTCTGTCCTGTCTGGCGAGCCTTGCTGGCACCATCAGCGGGCTCATTTTGATGGGTTCTTGCTGAGAGTGGGGTGGCAGGCAATCTCAAAGGAGATACTTCTGCTCTGTTTTGTAGCACCACTCCTTCTTCCAGCCAGGCGATAAGTTTGTTGATCTTCCAGAATGATGTCATCGTGTCTGGAGATCCCACTTCAGACACAAATGTAATCAATGGCTGGGAAGAAGGGTCGGGAGACCACAGCTAGTCTTTTCCTCTTCCATTGTCAGCCAAGGAACACACAGCATGCACAGAACAGAGGAACACTAACACACTCTAATAAGTCCCACCAAGTGCAAACTACAGTATATACCTCCCACCCAGAGGGGCATTCTGGGAGACCTCGCCAACAGTTTCTCTCCTCTGGCATTATGGGGAGTCCCATCATTTACTGCTCTGCCCCAGTGCTACAGCATTACACCAAAATCAATGAACTCCTACATTATTTAACACACTTTATTAAGAGTATTTACATTTCAATAAGTATAATTTCTCTGAATTCCAGTTTAGCTAATGGCTTTCAAATGATTTTCCTAAATAAATGTTCTGTTTATTGTTACTCATGCTTGTATTTGTAAAACCACTAGTTAGATTGCACTGAATGACAAGAAGGAAAGTTAATATAGTCTGTTCTGATATGCAGAAATATCAAGAGGAAAACACTAAGCCCGGCCTACAGCAGTCTTCTATTTCTACTTTCTGTTATGTTATTCTTTATTCTATCACCATGCATGCAAGGAAAAATGAACTTTTTATAAGGTTGTATAAAAATGTAAAGACCAAATGAATGTGAACAAAAACATCAACAGGAAACAGACAAAAATAAACTTGCAAACTAACAGGGAGACACAGCGCAACAATGAATAGCAACAAAATTGCAGGTTGAAACTGAGGCAGCAGAGACAGTCGCAATAAAGGAACCATGTACCGTGGCAAAAACAAATGCATGGTCAGTACAGGTAGAATTCAGCTGCGGGACCTGAGCTTTATTTAACATCTGAAGGTTTAAACAATTAGGGCGCCCTGAAGAAAATTTTAAAAAATCAACAAATAGTAGACTACAAGAGCTCTGATCAAATGGAAACGATTCCTCTGAGAAACATTTCATAACCTCTGCATTAAGGCTAAAGGGCGTGAATGAAAACTGGGAGGCTGAATGGAGATTAAAACGTTTTTTCAGTGCAATATGTCTGCATTATTCAAATAAGTCCGCTTTTTGTTGTAGTATTCATGCGGGTAGGCTACAGAAAGAAAAGGCGCTGTGGGTGTGCGAAGCATACTGCAGCGCTCAAGGGTATGGCAGTCAACTGAAGGCAGCATCCTCAGGGTAAATCAGGAGGCTGCAGATATGCGACATGGGAGCGCACCAAAAGCGCGGTAAGTTCTATTGTACAAAGAAAAAGATAAATACGGTTGATAGTGTATATCAGTGATGTATAGCTGTAAAACACACACACACACATGCACAACCTACCTACCTAAATGGCGATGTAGCTGTGATGTGTTCTACTTTCCCCTGCCAGCGAAGTGGTTGCTGTGCTTGTGCGCAGCGCTGGGTCCAGACTTCTCCTGACGTCAGGAAAACCAGACGTCTGTGGACGTAGTGCAGCATAAAAGCACTCACTGTTCTCTTCACGTGTTTTGCGATTCACATTTTGGTAGTCACCGTCAGGTAGCCTAGAGGATATGCGAATAGTTATTTTGTGCAGCTGCTTGTTCTTCAAGAGCCTCTTGGAGCAGGGGATGCTCTTGCTTTAGCAGAGTATGCAGGGTTTGCATACAGTTTTAAGGGTTTTCAAAGCGTCATAACAGGTCACTGATAGCCTATTAATGAGTAACACAAGACACACGCAAGCAGCATGTATAAAATTAAAGTACTTTCATACTGAAAGTGGGCTGTGCCCTAGAATGACAGGGGACTGGCACCTTCAACAGTCCTGAAATATTGTCCAATTGTATGAAGCTGTCAGGCTTTTTGTGGGAGGTATTCTTGTACTTGCCACATTATTTTGTGAGGATGGCTAAACTGACTAGAGTGCCTAACAGTGCGGTTTTAACTGCTGAGATGCAGATTGCTTTTTTTTTATTTCATCCTTAAACCATCCTAACCTTTATCCCAATTTCCAAAACCTGTTGCTGAAGACTGACCACCTCTGGAGGAAGCCTTAAAGACTGGCTTATTAACCTAATCAAGCTTTAAGCAGACAGCTACATAGAGGCAGCATAGATGATTTTGCCTTTGATTGTCTGATCTTAAACAGATTCATTCAAAGACAGTGTTTGGAACCTGGCTGGACAGGTTATGTTATTGGAGTGTGTATAAACATTACCACACGTTTCAACCTGGCAAATCAGCTGTTTTACCATTATTTTTAGACCATAGTCAAACTTATAAATTGTTTCATGTTGCACAAATAAAAGCAGAAGAGAAATTACTAGTGATGAACAAAATTTAGGTTAGGTTAATTTATTGTAGTTTATTATTATTTTCTATTTTATCTTGTTTTACTATTTTTAAATTCTATTTGTGTGTGCAAACCCTTCCTTCTGTTTCTTCAGTTTCTTTTGTTACTACATTTTTGTCCTTCTGCATTTAAAGCACTTTCAATTTCCTTCTTGTCGAAACGTGCTACAAATAGGCTACAGTAAAGTTTCTTTGCGTTGTCTGCACTGTTATAGGATTTCTTAGACCAAAATTCTGCTTTTGCACAAACTTTCAATATTAACTACAGTTGTAGTTAAATATTATATTTATATATACATGCACCTAAACATTAGGGGCAGCACTGCCTCTGGTGGCGCCTTCCTTCTCTGCAAACAAACAACTACCGGTCAAGAGTTTTCAAACAGTACTAGCTTTCTGATAGTCATTGTCGCTCAGGGAACTACGTCAAACTTTGCTCAGTTCGGGGTAATGTTTGTTTCTTGAAAGTCAGTTTCTTCGTTTATTTATTCAAGATCCCATGTATCTTTGCTTACTTTATAATATTTAGCTTGGCTGTGTCGTTAAGAAAGCGGCAAACCAGCTAGGATAACATGCTAACATTTGCTCATCTGCTTTGTTTCATACATCCAGGTGGTGCTAACGCTAACCATTTCAGTTTACTCATGCATCAGTTGTAGCCTTGTTATGAACAGGGACAGGAACAACTGGTGTTCCCTAGAATCTAGATTAATGGCATGTCGATCTGGCTAAAATCCACAATACAATTAACTTTCTTTTGATAGCTAGCCTGTTGTTAAACCAGCCCACAATGTCGGCGAGCTCCAAGAGGAGAAGAGCCACTTCACCCTCCAGCAGTGCCAGCGGAGGGGGAGACCTCGATGATACTTCCTCCTCTAACGTTACTCCTGGAAGTGGCAGGAAAAGAAGAAGAATCGCCAGTATTCCTCCTGTGGACATGGTAGATGCACTTCGTTTATTGTATGATTTGTATGTGTGAAATGTGTTTTCAGTCTTCAGAGGATGTGAGCTCTTGTCTTACTTTCCATGCGTGCATTTGTAAACATGTTAACAGTTATTAATGAGCTGTGACTTAGTTCACCTTCTGCTCTGCAGATTGCTGTATGCCATGAGTTGTTCAACGCTGTCAGGGACCACAAGGACGATCAGGGGAGGCAACTTAGTGAATTTTTTCTTAGAGTACCAAAGAGAAGGTATTGCAACGTAAAGTCTGGGGTCATAATCATGGTATTACTAAAGGGATGACCTTCAGATTTAATGTGAATGCCTACTACCACATGTTGGCTGTTACTGCATTTTATATTGAGATTGGACAGTTTGACTGGTGGTTGGGTGTTGCTGGGCAGCTCATTAAGACAAATGAAAAAAGTACTAAATAGTTTAGGTGAATATGGTGATGCTTGCATTCTCCTATTATGCTTTTTCAGAAATCAACCTGATTATTATGAGGCGGTGTCCCAGCCAATTGATATGATAAAAATTCAGTATAAACTGAAGTCAGAAGACTATAATGATGTGGAGCAGCTTACTGCAGATTTCCAGCTCCTGTTCAACAATGCCAAATCATTCTACAAGGTCAGGAGAAGAGAGTTCTTCTACTTATTTACTTTTTTTTATAACTTCAAAACAGTGTAGTGTGAGTGTTGGTGTTTTAATGTTCTTGACAATCTTAATTAATTTTATTTCTTTTCATGGTCAACAATTCAGAGTGACAGTGAGGAGTATCAAGCTGCATGCAAGTTATGGGAGGTATATTTGCAAACCAGGAGTGAGTTTGTGCAGCCTAGTGAAGGAGATGAGGATGATGAAGATGGTGACGATACAGATAATCCTGGAATGTCAAATGAAGATGAGGTCAGTTCTTTTTATCATTTCTGCTCGGTTGAATGCTCCTAATGAGCTCCTGTGTTCATACACAGCTCTCTGTAAACGATAAACAAACAAAGTGGTGCAGACCACCCCATACAATTGCTTCTGCAGGAGCATTGAAGGGAGGGGTCTCTTTGTTTGACTGTTGAGTTCAAATAACAACCATTTTTCTCCAGCTTTGCTGACTCCTTTAAGTAGAATAATCTTCTTTTTGTGGAAAATTGTCTTTATTGTAATAAATAACAAGGGCCATATAACTGGAGCAGAACTAATGTGTGCATATTTCTTTCAGACCTCAACTGGCAGCTTAAAGGAGGTGCTGGAGCAACTCTTGGAGGCTGTTGTGTCGCACGCTGATCCCTCAGGGCGTCTGGTCAGTGAACTATTCCAGAAGCTGCCCTCCAAAGTGGTAAGTCCTTGAAATGTCTTTGGACATTATGCGTCTGAAATGGTTACACATTTTTCACATTTCAAGGCCACTAACAACAATATCAACAATAAAAGACACACGAATAAAGCTTCATTCTATCACAAACATAAGTTCAGATTTTGATTAATCTAGGTCAGTTTAGAAGTGTTAAATCCTGTTCTGTTGTTGCTTGGTTTTATTCTATCAGGCTGCAGCCCTGATCTGTATTTTGTCATGCAGAATTTGTCTTTCTTTCTTAGCATTATCCAGACTACTATGCCATTATAAAGGAGCCGATAGATTTGAGAATGATCGCTCAAAGAATACAGGTAGGCAACTTACTTGCTGACTTATTGCTGTATTGTGCACTATCCATTTTAAAATTCACTGATTTTAGAATGTCATGATATTATATTTTCACCTGCACTAATTTTTTTGTGTAGATTGGATACTATAAAAGTGTCAGTGCTATAGCCAAGGACATTGATCTGATGGCTAAAAATGCCAAAACGTATAATGAACCAGGATCTCAGGTTTTTAAGGTAAACTCTTTTTTGATAGTATTTTTTTTACAAGATGTACCATCCCAAATATTAACAGCAGTTCTCTCATTGTATAGGATGCTAACACCATAAAGAAAGTCTTCATCCAGCGGAAGACTGAACTAGAACACAGTGAACCCACTAAATCTAGTCTTCGCATCAGGTATTAAACAACAATTGCATTTTAGATTTCAATGTATTTTTGTCTTGGATAAGAGCAGATGATCCTGTACTCAAAATTGATTATTTTAAGTTCTGCATGGTGCATGTTTTGTTTTTTTACTGTTTTATTCAGAAATCGCAGGTCTGGCCAGGGGGATCAGCTTTCTAGTGTCAGTGTAGCTCTTCACTATGGTTCAGAAAGTGAGGATGACCCTGTGCTCTCTGGTAAGTGTCTATGCCTTAGGCAGCAGAGAAGTTCATTTTGTATTTGTGTTGAAACGGTACCAGTTTACTATGGAAATGTCTGCAGGCTCTGTGTGCTATGACGAGGGAGAGTCAGAAGCTGAGAGTCAGAGTTCTAGTATGGAGATGAGCAACCCGATCTTCCAGCTGTATGAAGCTGTGAGGGGCGCCAGGAACAGCCAGGGCCAGGTCTTCTCTGAACCGTTCCAGCACCTGCCCTCTCGTAGGGAATATCCTGACTATTATCAGCAGATTAAACACCCCATCGCTCTGCAGCAGATCAGGTAAGGAGCAATCCTTTACTGTGTTTAGTCAGTTTTATATCAAAAACCAAAAAGGCATAAAACTTTAATGATGCCCACAAATGTGGTATGCAGTCATATTTAAAAATGAACTTTTTTCCACTGTGTGACAGTTCTAGAAGAAGTTCAGACTTTTTTGATTCTTTACTAGAGCGAAGATGAAGAATGGGGAATATGAAAGTGTGGAACAGATGGAGGCTGATCTCAATCTGATGTTTGAGAACGCAAAGCGCTACAACATGCCTAACTCAAGCATTTATAAACGGGCCTTCAGGCTTCAGCAAATCATGCAGGTGCTGACTTCTGAATTACGTACAGGTTGTGCTGTAAAATGTTTTTACTTCAGTTAGGCAAAGAAAAAATATATACATAATTTGAATCCATAAACATGAATACATTTCAAATAAAAATAGAAAATTGAGATAATGGGACAGAAATAGATAGGTGAGAAGATATAAGTGTCCACTGAGCTACTGTATTTGTCTGTATAGGCAAAAAAGAGGGAACTTCTGAGAAGAGATGATGAGGATGGAGACAGCATTCTGTCGTCTGATGCAGGGAGCATCAAGAGGAAAAGGTAGAAGAATTTTTATAAGTTTGTTGCTATTTTTCTACCTCCAGTAGCATCGTAATGTACTTGCTAAAATAAAATAATACATCACTCTTAAGGCGTTGTTTTTTATGTCATTGCCTTCAATGGCAGGTCTGTGCTGTCCATGCTTATACTTAATCTGTTTTTCATTCTTCTTAAGCCACAAGAAAAACATCAAAAAGAACCGAATGAAATCTCTGTACGCTGCAGTGACTGAGGCAAGGGAGGCCGGCACCAATCGACGTCTCTGTGATCTTTTTATGGTTAAACCATCCAAAAAGGACTACCCTGACTACTATAATGTCATCCTTGAACCGATGGACCTGAAGACCATTGAGCACAACGTTCGCAGTGAACGCTACACCACAGAGGAAGCTCTGATGGAAGACATGAAGCTGATGTTCCGTAACGCCCGGCATTATAATGAGGAGGGATCTCAGGTTGGCAGCGTAAATCCATTTCACTTTTTCTATTATTGCAGATAAAACTTTTGCCTTGAGGTAAATTCTTCTGGCACTTAATTTTTGGATTATGTAGGTGTATAACGATGCTGATATCCTGGAGAAGATACTGAAAGACAAGCGCAAGGAGTTAGGACCTCCACTTGAAGAAGATGATGTGGGTTCTCCAAAACTGAAACTGAGTAAGTTTTGTCATGACAGTGTTTTTGTATGTTTGGGCCCATTTACTAAAAATCTGATGCACTTCACAATACTGTCAAAAATGTAACCATATGGTTATAGATTTTTTTTTTTTTACCATCAAGGCAGCCATAGTATTTTATTTATTTTGATTATGATATGAAAACTTGCAAGGGTTTGAAACAGCTCAGTGCAAGGTAATGCATCATAGCAAACATTATGTTTATAATCCACCAAATTGCACTAGCATTAACCCAGACTTTGGCTACTCTAGTGTGCCATATAAACACAAGGCAGAAACTGTGAAAAAAGTGGCAAGAGATAATCAGGTCTTTGCAGAGCTCTGTGCTCTTGAGGGCTTTCTTGTTGCTGTTTACTTTAGGGTTTACAATTCATTTTAATGTTTTAAAAAAATCTAAGTGTATTAGTCCAAATACCTCACCCCTCTCCAGCAGAGGCTAAATGAACTCTATGATGCTGTGCGAAACTTCACTGACCGCCGAGGCCGGCGTCTAAGCACAATCTTCCTCCGTTTGCCATCTCGTGCTGAATTGCCCGACTACTATGCTACCATCAAGAAGCCCATCGATATGGAGCGCCTGCGAAGCCATATCGCAGGCCGGCCGTCCCCAGCACGGGAAAGGGAGGACTTTGCGCTTATGTTCAACAATGCCTGTATGTACAATGAGCCCGAGTCTCTGATCTATCGGGATGCTCTAGTGTTGCATCGTGTGCTGCTGGAGACACGCAAGCAGCAGGAGGGAAGTGAAGACTCCAGGCCTCCTGCTGTGGGACCTCTGGTGCGAGAGCTGATCAGGAACCTGTTTGTGTCCGTGCTGGGCCACCAGGATGAAGAGGGCCGATGCTACAGTGACTCGCTGGCAGAGATTCCCGCTGTGGATCCAGCTGCTCCTGAGAAGCCTCCACTTAACTTTGATATCATCAGGATGAACGTGGAGCGAGGCCGCTACAGGAGGCTGGACGTTTTCCAGGAACACATGTTTGAAGTGCTGGAGAAGGCACGGAGGCTGCACAGGTATATAAAGTTACTCTGAAAAGACCGTCTGCATGATTTATATGTACAAGAGAATCAAGCTTTATCAATACATTTTTTACATTTGCAGGACTGACTCTGAGGTATTTGAGGATGCCGTGGAACTACAACAGTTTTTCATTAAGATCAGGGATGAGCTATGCAAGAATGGAGAGATCCTGCTGTCCTCTGCACTGAACTATACATTCAAACACCTGCACAGTGATGTGGAGCAGGAAAAAAGAGAGAAAATTCCCAAAGAGATTGAGGAGGACAAGCAAAAGAAGGAAGAAGATGAGGAGGAAAGTAAAGGTACATGACCTCTTGGCATAATACACAGGTTTGAAGGATACATCAAAATGTTGTGGTATTAATTTGAAATTATTATATATTTCTCACCCAAAGAGGGTGGGAAAGCAGCGTACCTACAAGGAGAAGCTTGGCAGTCAGAGATGGAGACAAAGCATGTGTACAGTCAGGACTGCAGCTTTGAAAACAGCACCTACCATGTGGGGGACTTTGTCTACGTGGAGCCGTCGGAGCCGAACCTAAAGCCACATATTGTCTGTATTGAACGCCTGTGGGGTGATGAAGCAGGTAACACACTCATTGCTTTTTTTGCAACTGTTTTAGAACAAGAGCAAATGTTATACCTTTTCATGACATTCCCCAAACAATCAGTGATCTGAAGATAGAAGATGTTATAAGATAGGACGTTACCGACCTAATGGAGGACATAACAAGTGCTATGGATGAAAGGAAATACACGATGGGAATATTTATTGACCTAAAAAAAGCATTTGACACAATCAATCATTAATTATTAATGGATAAGTTAGAAAAATATGGGATCAAAGGAATGGTTCTGAAATGGATTAGAAGTTATTTGACACAGAGGTGTCAATTTGTGAAGTTGGGTGAATACCAATTGAGTGAGCTGGACATTGTATGTGGAGTGCCTCAGGGTTCTGTTTTGGGACCTAAATTATTTATATTATACATTAATGA